TTGATCCTTCAATAATTTCTTGTTTGACTTCTGTTGAAATATTTCTTAGACATATCTTCAGTGTAAGAAATGGTGAGAGACTGAGCCAAAGCAGTAGAAATGGGAATGTAGTGGAGGACACTGATTAGGAAGAAATTAAATAGTCAGGCTTGATGGAGTTTGCAAGTGATTGTAGTTAGTGCTTAGAATGATAATCCCCCAATTTCTTGTTTGGAAAACTGAAATTCCATGAAATTTGATGTGTTACATTTTCACTATCATTCAGTTTGAAAAAATTTTCTAATTCTTCTTTGAAATATGGATTCTTCAGAAGTATGTTATAGAATTTCAAAATATTTGGAGTTTTTCCAGCTATCTTACTGTTATTGATATCTAATTTAATTACGTTGTGGTCAAATAATACATTATGTAGGGTTCCAATCCAGTTAAACTTCTATTTAGACTTGTTTCAGGGCTCAGGATATGATCTGTCTTATTGAAAGTACTAAGTGCACGTAAAAGAATGTGTATTTAGCAGTTATATGGTGTAGTGTTCTATAAGTACACAAGTATATGAGTATATTTATAAATATATATCTCTATTATAGATATAAAATATGAAAGTATATGTATAAATTAGGTCAAGATGGTTGTTAGTTTCATTCAGGTCATCTGTGTCTTTACAGACTTTTAAAAATCTAGTTATTCTGTCAATTGCTGGGAGATGTTAAAATCTTTCTGATTATAAAATTGCCCATTTCTCTGACTCTGTTAATTTCTGCTATATATATATATATATTTTTTTTTTTTTCCCCGAGATCTTGGCACCATCTTGGCTCCCTGCAGCCTCCACCTCCCAAGTTCAAGTAATTCTCCTCCTTCAGCCTCCTGAGTAGCTGGGATTACAAGCACCCACCACCATACCTGGTCTTTTTTTTTTGGTAGAGATGTGGTTTCGCCATGTTGGCCAGGTTGGTCTCGAACTCCTAGCCTCAGGTCATCTGCCCACCTCAGCCTCCCAAAGTGCTGAAATTACAGGCATGAGCCACTGTGGCCAGCCTGCTTCATGTATTTTGTAACCCTATTATTAGGTGTATATGTATTTATGATTTTTATGTCTCCCTGATGAATTGATCTTTTTGTTATAGTGAAATGTCTGTCTCTGTCTCTGGTAATACTATTTTTCTTGATATCTATCTTTCTTTTTTTTTTTTTTCTTGAGACGGAGTTTCACTCTTGTTGCCCAGGCTGGAGTGCAGTGGTGCAATCTCAGCTCACTGCAACCTCCACCTCCTGGGTTCAAGTGATTCTCCTGCCTCAGCCTCCTGAGTAGCTGGGATTACAGGCATGCGCCACCACGCCCAGCTAATTGTTTGAATTTTTAGTAGAGACAGGGTTTCTCCAAGCTGGCCCGGCTGGTCTCAAACTCCCGACCTCAGGTGATCCACCCACCTCAGCCTCCCAGAGTGCTGGGATTACTGGCGTGAGCCACTGCGCCTGGCCAGATGTCTATCTTACCTGATATTTATAGAACCACTGCAGCTTTCTTATGCATCCTGTTTACATAGTATACATTTTTCCATCAGTTTACTTTCAACTTATATTTATAGTACATTTTTTATACACAGCATATACTTGAGTCTTGCTTTTCTAAAAATCTATTCTGACAATGTCTTTTAATTGAAATGTTTATTTCATTAATGTTTAATGCAATTGTTGATATGGGTGAAATTAAGTCTATCATTTTATTCTGTTTTGTTTGTTTGTCCGTGTGCTTTTTGTTCCTCTGTTCCTTCTTTTCTGCCTTTCTTTGGATTATTTGAATATTTATCAAAATTTCACTTTAATGTATCCATTGGCTTTTAGTTATGTCTCTTTTTATTTGTTTGGGATTTTTAGTGGTTTTAGTATAGACTAAAGTATACATCATCAACTTGTCACAGTCTACTTAGAGTAAAATGGTACTACTTCACATAAAGATGTAGAAATCTTTAAATTATATTGTTCCGTTTACTTCCCCAAACCTTTGTACTATAGTTTCTGTATGTAATACTATAAACCCCGCAGGACGGTATTATAATTTTTGCTTTCAGAAATTCAATGTGTTTTAAAGAAAGTAAAGGGGATAAGAATCTCCCTCTGAGGTTTTATTAAACATGTCAGACTTTTCTTTATTGTCCTACAGGTTCCTGAATTTCTGTTTTTTCATATTAAATAATTTCTATTGATCTATCTTTAAGTTCTCAGATTATTCCCTCAGATATTTTCTCTTTGTTTTAAGCTCAACCAGTTAACAGATATTACATGTTTTAATTCTATAATTTCCATTTTAAAAAGTAGTTTCTGTTTCTCTGATAAGATTCCCTATGTTTTTCCTTTACTTTGAACATATTTTACTTTTTTCATGAAGCATGGTTTTTTGTTAGTTTGTTTGGTTTTGTTTTTGTTTTTTAGGTGAAGTCGTGCTCTGTCACCCAGGCCGGAGTGCAGTGGCACAATCTCAGTTGCTGCAACCTCTGCCTCCCAGATTCAAGTGATTCTCCCGTCTCAACCTGCTGAGTAGCTGGGACTACAGATGTGTGCAACCAACCCCAGCTATTTTGTATGTGTGTGTGTATGTGGATTTTTAGTAGAGACAGGGTTTCACCATGTTGGTCAGGCTGGTCTCGAACTCCTGACCTCAAGTGATGCACCTGCCTCGGCCTCTTAAAGTGTTAGGATTACAGGCGTGAGCCGCCGTGCCCGACCCATCAAGCATAGTTATAATAGCTGCTATAAAATCTGTTAATTCCAATGTCTGGGTCATTCAATATCTGGTCTTGTTGGATTGTCTTTTATGTTAACACTAGGTCTCACTTCCTCGGTTCTTTTAGATCAAGTTGGGTTGATCTTGGACATTGTGACTATTGTATTGTGAAGACTCTGCACTCTCCTGTTGTCCTACAAAATTTATTGATGTTTTTGTTCTAGCAGTCAATTATCTTGATTGTACTCAAAATACAAAATGACTCGTGAACAGCAGCTCAAATTTTAGTTCAATTGTTTTATCCTTAGCAGGCTGCTTGCAGGAGTTTCTAAACATGCATGGTTTAGGGGTTAACCAGAGACTTGAACAGGTAGTGTCTTACACATAGAAGTCTCTCATGCAGGAAATGGAGCTGCCATCTTTGGCTCTCTTCTTTGCATCATTCCTTTCTCACTTTCCAGCAGCTTTGTTTGCCCAAACTTTGTCTTCTGGTTCTTCTGGCCAGAAATAACATGGTTTTTCTAGCAGAATTTTAGATGCTCCATGCGATGCCAACTTCAGTCTGCCTTCAAGCTAAAAGCTATACAAATAGCAACTCCACTCCATGCAAATCAGTGATACCAAGTGTCAATACTTTCTCTTTGCCACCTGCTTTTGTTTATTCTCCAGGACCTTAAGGTCATGTGTGTGCATGCATGTGTGTGTGCGTGTGTGTGTGTGTATTTTATCTAGAGCATTTTGTCTAGAGTCTATGGTTTTTATCTGTGGGTAGGTAGGTCTGATAGAGGATTACTCAGCTATGTTGAATCAGAATTCCCCAGTCTTTACTACTTTTATTATCTTTTCCTGTTGCGTTACTGGGCACTCCCTAAAAATTTATAAATAATTGTGGTGATAGATGTTACTGTTGCCATGTCATAGACTAATATATTACCATTAACAATGTTGTTGACTGTTACTTTTACATATATATAATTTTAAAAATTATCTTTAATTTTTTTTTTTTTTTTTTTTTTTTTTGAGACAGAGTCTCACTCTGTCCCTCAGGCTTGAGTGCAGTGGCATGATCTCAGTGCACGGCCACCTTCGCCTCCCAGATTCCAGCAATTCTCCTGCCGCAGCTTCCTGAGTAGCTGGGACTACAGGTGTGCACCACCATGCCCGGCTTATTTTGGATTTTTAGTAGAGACGGGTTTCACAGTGTTGGCCACGCTGGTCTTAAACTCCTGACCTCAGGTGATCCACCTGCCTTGGCCTCCCAAAATGCTGGGATTACAGGCATGAGCCACTGCACCTGGCCAATATTCTTTCTCACATTAAGAAAGTATTATCTCTATGTAGTTTTATTACAGTTCTTATCAATAATAGTTAAATTTATCAGATTTATCAGTATTGCAGCTATTAAAATAATTACATCATTTTAATCCTTTTGACCTATGGGTAATGAGTTATAATAACATATAGAAACCTTTAATTTCTTGATGGTTTTATTTGGCTGTTGTAAATTTGTACTAGTATAGTGTTGCTCGGTATTTTATTTTAAATTTGTGAAAAATCCTGAAGTCATAGGTAAGATTAGCTTGTAGCCTTCTTTATTTTTCCAGACTTTGGCTTTTAAGACTATACCAGCTTATAAAAAGAAATGAAAAGTTGTTTACTTTTTTTTTTTTTTTTTTTTTTTTTTGAGACGGAGTCTCGCTTTGTCGCCCAGACTGCAGTGCAGTGGCACAATCTCGGCTCACTGCAAGCTCTGCCTCCCGGGTTCACGCCATTCTCCTGCCTCAGCCTCCTGAATAGCTGGGACTACAGGCGCCCGCCACCTTGCCTGGCTAGTTTTTTGTACTTTTTAGTAGAGACGGGGTTTCACCATGCTAGCCAGGATGGTCTGGATCTCCTGACCTCGTGTTCCGCCCGTCTTGGCCTCCCAAAGTGCTGGGATTACAGGCTTGAGCCACCGTGCCCGGCCTGGAGAGAGAAATTTTATGTGAATATAAAGGTTAAGTTTCATAGACAAAGGAAAAAAAAAATTAGTAAAAAGTGTGAGCATAAGCAGATCCTTTAACTTCTGAAGGTTTGTTTTCTTATTGATAATGCTCATCTCATAGTAGGTTTTTCTGAGAATTAAATCACATTTGAAAATATTTAAAGAACCAGAGAGCTGTTAGTTATCATAATTCAATATTGCAAATGTGAATACTCAAACACAAATTATTTATTAATATACATGGAAAAAAAATCATTTCTAAGATAATTTTCCATTTTTCCTGATATTTAGATGGAAAATGCAAGGCCTCTGAATGTTCTACATTCAAAGCATAGACAAGCATGTAGAAGATCACGGGGTTCTACAGACTTTTCTCCTATGTTCAACACTCAGTCTAATGCTCATAAAAAGGAAAAAGACTCTACTTTATTTACAGGTACAGAAATTGCATGTTTACATTGAAATAATTGAAAGTTACCTGCATCTAAACTTAGGGTGTAAGCATTAAGAAAATCTTTAACCAAGGAATATTAGTCTTTGATCACGCTACAATAACGATCTTTCTCCAGCCTTCTTTTCTTTCTCGTAAACCTATCTACACCACACTGATTCTAGTCATATTTAACAGGCTGTTTTACTTAGTTAACCAAATTACTGTGTGATTTGATTCATTGTCTGTTGCCTATGCTTCAAACATATGTTTTCACCTGATGGATTCCTGTTCGACTTTCATAGTTAAGAGATTTTAGCCTCAAATAAAAGAAAATCCAACCGCCTGTAGCTTAAACTGTAAAGATATTTATTATCTAAAAAAACAAGAAGTCCATCAGAAAGGCATTTGCAGGGTTGGCTCATTCAGGGGCTTTATAATGTCATTAGATATTCAGTTCCATGCATCTATTTGACAGACCTGGAGTAGTTACTGTCTGCTGCTAAGGTTTCCACCACAGATGCAAGAAAAAAAATATTCTCTTGCTTTCTGTCTGTCTGATTGTGGCTGCTGAGATTGAATAGAGGAATAAAGTGGTGGAAAAAATGTCCAGTTCCTCTGTCTTTCCTCAATGGTCTTAGCAGGTAGCTTGTCCTCCTATCCTTGCTGTACAGTATGATGACAACTATTCAATATAGCTTGTGTGACTAGAAATGCTTTTTATGCCTTGGTAAGAATGAAAAAAATGTTTTCCCAAAGCCAACTCCCCCTTATGTTTCTTTGGCTCAAAGAGCCTCATGCATCCACATCTAAACCAATAGATCATCATTGGCTTAGATCACTTTTTCCAACTTTTAACATGGCCACAGTAGGAAATACTTTTTATATTACACACACACACACACACACACACACACACACACGGAGCAGAAGATTCAGCTTCCTAGAGTCCTAATTATCTCTCTTTCTCTCTGTCAGTTGAATTTGATTGTAGTATTTCTGTATTTTGTAAAGTAATTACTAAGGATCCAGATGATACATTCTGTTATAGTCTACTTCATTTTCTTAAATGCTGTTCAGGATACACTAAATTGATTTCACAAGACATGAATGGTTTGTAGCTCACATTTTGAAAAACACAGCTTAGATTACTCAAGATTTATTCCATTGAGCCGGGAAAGATACCAGCCTTCTTTGAAGGACATGGTTGCTTGGAAGGAGATAAGACTGGAGTGCTGTTAGTAAAGAAGGGTAAAAAATGACTGTGAAGTAGGCAACCTCCGTTTGCTACGTTATCCTTGAAGGTTCCATTCAGATGCCACATCTTCTCTGAAGTGTTCCCTGAAAGCAGTGACAGGATGTTCTATTAGTTCAGCAAAGCAATCTCCCTTTAGAAAAGTTCTTAAGTCTCTCTAAGGAAGTATTTTATACTTTTTATCAAAGTCCCAAAGTAAGACTTCTGGGAAAGTTGTCAACATAAATACAAGTTCATCCTGGCCAGAATGAATAACACAAAAAGAAAATAGAGAAGAAAAATTTATTAAATTGAAACTGGGACATTTTATCCCTAACTCAAAGAAAATCTGTCACATATTACATTATGAAGCGGTTTGAAAGAATCTTCCAGAAGTCAGCGCACAATTCCATTTCTTAGGAGAAAAGAATAACCGTTGAAAGAGCCAATAGAGAATATTCTGAAAAAAATCCCCTATTATAACCACCGACTCCATTACACACACACACACACACACACAGACACACACACACACTCTCTCTCTCTCTTACATTCAACTTAAAGAAATAGAGTTTGTTATCAATGATAGGTCCGAGAAAGATGCGAAATTCTCCCCTTGGGATTCCTTTCCTCATTGTAAGTCAGCAGCATTCAAAGTCTGTGCTAGCAATACTTGGAGAGAAATATAATGATCATAACTTGTCACTTTTTTCTCTGGCTTCCTCGTATTGCTTTAGATGTCCTCAGAGCTAGGGTAAAAATCTCCTAACTTGAAGGAGCAGGGACTTGAAAGGAGAGTTGATGACAGAAGAGACAAAATACAGTTTTCTAGGAATGATTTTTGGATTGTGACCAATGATAACTGCAAAGAAAAAACACAATTCCTTCAAATAGCCTGTGAGCCATGAGGCCCTCACTTGACTAAGTTCCTCCCTCAACTACCAAACTAACTTGCTTACCCCAAGAGAGAGATAAAAATATGAAACCCAAGTGACACCTCACACATAAACAGAGTACCCACCACCACCACCACCCTGGGGTCATGAAAAGGTTTCACAAAATATACAGTGCCCAGAAACAAACTTCTCCACCATCTTCCAGGGCTACAGCTTCCTTAGCAGCCTACTCAGGTAGCTGAGTGCCTGAACTCATAATAAAAGGTAACAACATCTGGATTTACATGTTAATTTCTAAGGGGAGAGTTTAACAGTGCCCAAGTAAACAGGGAGAACATAAAAAAATTTACATCTATTGTTTTTGGACAAATAAATAAGCCCACATTTAAGTGATCTGATTCAAAGTTGAGCAGAACGAAAAATAAGAACAAAGCATGGGACCTATGGAAAAATTCCATAGCGAAGAGAGGTCAGAATTTAAAAAATAGCTGATGGTCACATTTTGGCAGAATTTGTTCCCCATGAACCAGGAATAAACTTAAACAATAATTGTTCTATATGCTGAAGGAGTTAAAGAAAATTAGAATTCTATGAAGTAAGATTTGGAAATGTAAAACATAATCATCAAGGATGAAATGATGCTACCAGAATTAAAAAATATTTTTAAAGAAATAAGTAATGCTAATAGGTAACTTAAAATTATGTTAAAAGCCTCAAAGAGTAAAATAAACATTGAAGTAAACCGAACTGAAATCCGAAAAGCAGGTTTAGGAATATATACAGTGTGCAGTGTAAGGGGACAAAAATATGACCACATTAGACAAGATAGTATATTGAGGGAAGAAACCAGGTATCCAACACTGAGATAAACAGTGAGTTTGAAGGAAAGAACAGAACAAATCAAATGAATTGACTAAAAGGGGGTGGGGAGAAACTATCGGAGAATAATGGAAATACTCTATATCTTGATTTTACTTACATGAGTGCATATATTTATCAATGTTTATCAAACTGTTCATTACATTAAAATACGTGTATTTTATTGTATGTAAATTATACCTCTATAAAGCAAAGTTAAAGAAAAAAACAAAAGGCTGACATGACAGAAGTCTAAAACATCAAAAATACAGTAGATTAAAATAACTGCAAAAACCTTACACAAGTGCAGCAAATATTAACAATATTTCATTTAAAATACAAAATACTATTAGTTTTTAAAGACAATGTTGATTAAATACATAACAATTTATCAAATTCTGTGCTCATCATTGACTCCTGTACCCTACCATTTGTGTTTGTTTATTTATTTTTTTTGAGAGACAGTTTCACTCTTGTTGCCTAGGCTGGAGTGCAATGGCGCGACCCTGGCTCACTGCAACCTCCCAGGTAGCTGGGATTATAGGTGTGCACCACCACGCCCAGCTATTTTTGTATTTTTGGTAGAGATGGGGTTTCACCATACTGGTCAGGCTGCTCTCAAACTCCTGTCCTCAGGTGATCCACCTGCCTCAGCCTCCCAGAGTGCTGGGATTACAGGTGTGAGCCACCACACTCAGCCCCATCTGTGTTCTATTACTTTTTTCATGAAGAGCACGTGTTAGTCATTCTTTCAATGGTGACCTGTTGGCTGTTAACTCTTTGGATCCTTATATATCTGAAGTGCCTTTATTTTGCTGTCACTCTGGAGTGACAGTTGAGTTTATGTAAATTTCTACACTGTAAATTACTTTTTTCTCAGCACTTTACAGAGAACTTTATTATCTTCTTGAATCATTCATAGATTAGAATTCTGTTCATAGTCCAATTGTCATTCTTCTATAGAATAACTGTTTTTAACTTTCTGGTAGTTTTAGGACTTTTCTCTTTATTCTTTATGATTCGCATTTTTAGTACAAAGTGTCTGGATATAGATGTATTCTGTCTGTCATCTTCAATCCTTGAAATACACATCTGTCAGTTAGAATTATTGGTTATTATCTCTTCAAATATAGATTCTTTACCATTTCTGCTATTTTCTTCTTCCAAAGCTATTGGATAAATGTCCAAGACTTGCAGTGGGTTTTTCATGATTTTGAACTGTTCTTTCAGGTTTTTTATTTATCTTTCTATGCATTCTTGGTGAATTCCTCAACATTTTCTTTCAATTCATTAATTTTCCCTTTGCCCATGTAATCTAGATTTATATTTCTTACTTCCAAGATTTCCAGTTTTTAAAATATTGACCTGTTTTTATTTTTACCTTAGTCTGTTTTTATCGAATAATAGCTTATTCTCTAATGTATTTTTTATTTATACCTTTGAAATTTCTAAACATATTTTATCAAATCTAAGATGTCATCAATTGACGCTGTTAATTTAAGTATGACACTTGCTACTATACATCTTAAAACTGAGGTATGTATCTTAAGATGGCAAGGGTTTTCAGTTTATTTTTAGATTCTTCTATTTAATTGTATTGCTGACCCTCTTGTAGATTTTGTTTGCTGCCTTTCTTAGATTTATATTTTTCATATGTTTTATTATTATAATTTTGTTTGTGAAACTGAGTCTCACCCTGTCACCTAGCCTGGAGTGCAGTGGCATGATCTCTGCTCACTGCCACCTCCAACTCCTGGGTTCAAGCGACTCCTGCCTCAGCCTCCCAAGTAGCTGGGACTACAGGCGTTCGCGACCATGCCCAACTGATTTTTGTACTTTTAGTAGAGGTGGGGTTTCACCATGTTGGCCAGGCTGGTCTCGAACTCCTGACCTCAAGTGATCCACCCACCTCAGCCTCTCAAAGTGCTGGGATTATAGGTGTGAGCCACTGCACCTGGCAATATTTTTCATCTGTTTTAGAATTTCAGAAGGTTCTCTCTCTCTTATTCACCACTCACTATATGTCACTCTTTCCTTTCCAGAAGTTTTGCAGTTGCCATTTCTCAGACCTCATGGCCCTCAGGCCAGACCAGATTTTAGAGTTGTGATTGGGATTCCTCTGCCAGGGTAATAATTGGGGATATGGCAGATTCAGTCATCCATCTCTGGTGTGGTTTGACTTAGTTCCAGGTTAGCCAATTGGCAATGGAAAGGACTGATTTTTACTCTCCTTTCACAAGTCAGGGATCCTTAACCCAGCACCTTGTTTCAGTCAGTGGGCCTGTTTTTCTCCTATCTATCCCATTCCTGCAAATGGGAAAAAGTTGGATCTCCCTCTAAGTAGAAACTGAAGCCAACCATTTCTCACCACTTACACTGCTACAATCTTTATCGAGTCAACCAACAAGTTTATCTAGATAATAGCAACAGCCTCCTAACTGGTTACTCCATTGCTACTCTTGCCACCCACATTCCCCCTTCTCCCCACAGACCATCCATCTCTGAGCGAGCAGAGTGATCTTTCTAAAGTATAAATGAAACTACATTATTGTTCTGTTGAAAACCCTCCTAAGGATCTCTGTTGTAACCAGAATAATATCTTAACTCTTCACCATGGCTTATGTGACCCTAGATGACTTTGCCCTGCTACGTGTTTCAACCCATCTTACTCTGCTCTCCTCCTAATTCACAGCACCCAAGCAACACTGGCCTCTTTGTTCTTTCAGCATTCCACACTGACTTCACACTGAGACCTCCACACTTGCTGTTTCCTCTGCCTCTTTCTCTTTACTCAGATTTCAGCTCAAATATCCCTTCTTAAAAGAGGACATCTATAGCCACCCTAGGTTAAGTACTATGTTTATATTCTTTCATAATACTTGAATGCTTCAAATACTTCCAAAGTATTCGAAATTATATTATATATTTATTTGTTGGTTGGTTTACTTGTTTTTGTTGTTGTCGGTGTTTTTTTTTGTTTGTGTTTGTTTTTGTTTTTTGAGATGGGAGTCTTACTATACTGCCCCAGCTGGCCCCAAACTCCTGGCGTCAAGCAGTCCTCCCACTTCAGCCTCCTGAATAGCTGGGATTACAAAGGCACATCACCATGCCCAGCTGGTTTACTTGTTTATTGACCATTTCCTCCCTCTAGAACAGAGCTTCCCAAATAGTACTGTGGTAAACTGTTGTGCTTGGAGGGGGTTATAGGTGTGCTGAAATATTGATTCCTTGGCCATCAAGGCTGCTCAGTTTACCCTATGGTAGCCTACCCAGACTCAAGCATTTATTCCAGTATACTGTACAAATAATATACATTAGTATGCTTGCAATTAAATGGGAAAGACTGGGAAGTACTGCACTAGAATATAAACTACTTGAGGACGAGGAAAAAGCTGAAACTGTTGCTAATAGCATGTGTGTGTAGAAAAATGCTGGAGTGGCCACCAGACATGTTTGGAAGAGATCAACCTTGGATGCTTACTTCATGCCACATGGCAAGATCTGTTTGATATCTGCAAGCTGTCTTCCCTCCCTACCAAGTGATAACCGTCTGAAGCTTCCTACTGGTTAATAATGACTCCACGTAACAGAGAGATTTGAAAATTTAGGGATGCCTTTCTTCCACAAAAAATCTCCAAGACCACTTTTATGTTTGATCTGTTTTAGCCAAATACTGGAGCTTTGATCTCAGTCTTTTCCAGTTCTATCTAGTTCATTCAAGAAATATTTACTGAGTAGCTACTACAGACCAGGCACTATACTAGGTGTTTTCCATATGTTATTTTAAATTGTAAAATATTTTGTGCAAGATATTTTCCTAAATGTCAGAATATCTATGTGTCTTTTATGAAAATCTTTTAAAATTTCAGGTCAAATTGAAAAAAAACCTAGAAAACCATTGGATTCTGTTGGTCACTTAGAAGGTGATAGAAATAAAAGGTAATTTATTTCAAAATACTTAGTATTTTGATCTGTTTAATGATGTTTCTAGTAGGACACATTTTATAATTGACCAGAATAAATTTATTCTACCTTATTGTTATCGTTTAGTTCCATAGTACAATTGAACGAATGGTCCAAGACTGCTTAGCCACTAGATATCACATCCAGACCTTGAGTATTGTCAAACGGAGAGAAAGGCATGGAAAAATGAATAGAGGGAATACAATTTTTTTTTTAAGTAAATGCATACATTTACTAACACTACAACACGGATGTGAAAAAGTAGCTTTTCTTTGGATACAGTTCTCATTTTTCTCATGAACCCTTCAAACTTTATGTAGTGAAAAAATCATTAATCCAGTGTGTTTCAAACTTTGTTTGAATCAAAAATGAACAACCACTTTCGGTTTAATTCAGTTTAAAAACTATATCCTGGCCGGACGCAGTGGCTCACGCCTGTAATCCCAGCACTTTGGGAGGCCGAGGCAGGCGGATCACGAGGTCAGGAGATCAAGACCATCCTGGCTAACATGGTGAAACCCCATCTCTACTAAAAATACAAAAAAATTAGTTGGGCCTAGTGGTGGGCGCCTGTAGTCTCAGCTACTTGGGAAGCTGAGGCAGGAGAATGGTGTGAACCCGGGAGGCGGAGCTTGCAGTGAGCCAGATCGCGCCACTGCACTCCAGCCTGGGCGACAGAGCGAGACTCCGTTTCAAAACAACAACAACAACAACAACAACTATATCCTGTCTCTGCCTGACCACACTACTCTATCCTCTTAACAAATATGGGGCCACCCTGTGTTGGCATGAAGCTGCCCTGTGAAGCTTCTTTCAGAATCTCAACATAGGACGTTGCAAATACCTCTCTACCTTTGGTGTTCTCCTCAACCTACGTAATCATACAACCCGTTCCCACTCAAAATCCAAAGCAGTATATATATGACTGTCTTGCTTCCACTCCTGCTCTTGCTGTGTTCTCCCGCAAACCAGGCAGGAAGGGATGATCTTGTCAGTTTGAAAGTCTGTGGGAGAGAGGTTGGTGCAGAAGTTGGCAGTGACTTCCAGGGATAAAAGGAGGCAGACAAGAACTAACAAGCTGTAATCAGCCCTATGAACATTGCCCTGAACTGTGTTTATTTTCAGAAAAAAATCTCCACAGATGAATGATTTTAATATAAAAGAAAACAAATCTGTCAGAAATTATCAATTAAGTAAGTATCATTCAGTAAGAAAGAAAAGCTTGCTCCCGTTGTGCTTTGAGGATGAATTGAAAAATCCACATGCCAAGATAATCAGCGTTAGTCCAACAAAGACAGTAACTTCTCACATGGTAATAAGCATATCATCTATCGTTAAGTAAATATGTGTAGTTATACAACTTACGGGAATCACCCATATATTTTAGTGACCAGAATCTTTGATAAATCCTTCTTACCTCTTGGTTTCATATTCCAAAGTGATAACAGCACTTAAGTTCTTAACGCACTTTGCATAACCCCCAAACCACGCATTCCTTTACACTAGCTGAAAATTCAGTGTTTTTCTTTATGAAGAAGGCTTTATCAAATTTGCTTGATTATAATAGAACTATAAAATAAAAAGGATTTTTTTTAAAAATGACTGTAGCAATCTAGCAGAATGCAGTGGTGTGCACCTGTAATCCCTGCTACTCTGGAGTCTGAGGCAGGGGAATTGCTTAACCCAGGCATTTGAATTCAGCCTGTACAATATAACAAGATCCCAGTTCTAAAATGATGGGACCATGACCATGTGTCCATTTTTCTAACAATCTGTTTTGGCTTTTTCAACCAGAAAGTGCATTTATTAAAGGCTATTTAGTAACTCATGCCCTCTAGAGAGGCAGTCTGGCTCGAAAGCTGTCTAGCCAGGAATCACCTAATTATATAGCCCCAGACTGCTCCACTGAGGCCCATGCTATTGTCACAGATAACAGTTTATAACTCCGATGCTGAGCAGAGAATACTCTAAGACATTTGCTACTGCTGTTGTTCAAAGCTAGATATAACTCCTACCACCCTCACTAGAATAGTTTTCCCAATACTTTTTCACAGTGCTTGCTTTCTCTGAACTGAAGACTTCATAGGTGTATCTGAATGGCAGAGCCTAGAGCAAATGCCTATGTCCTAACCGCAAAGAAGCTGACAAACATGGTTCTTGCCTCTACCTAAGGGTACATAGACTTATCAAGCAGAAAATGTCCTAAGGCGTTGGACAGACCAAAAACATCACAAACATCCATTACGATGGCTAAATAGGTAATATTGGCATCACCAGTGGATTACAAAACTAGATCTTTGTCATCTTTTCAGTAATGATAGCAGACTTGGCTATTACTGTGATAAAAATGATCTATTCTTGAGTCAGTCTATTACTTTGGCTATTTTATTCCACAGATATATATTGAGCACTTTTTAGGTGTCAGGTGTTAGGTGCTAAGTATTAGGGTACAAAAATATCAGTTGTAGAGATAATTTTTTATTTTTTGAATTATTTACTAGAATATCCAGATTTGTAATTTTGGCCTGTAATCAGTTACGTCTCTTCTGAACTTTGACTCAATCCATTTTTTGGTATGCTTTTTAATTTCTAGAATATGGAAACCTAAGAAATGCCAGTACAACTACCCTATTTCTCAATGGCAGTAGCTCAGATATTTAACAAATATATTTATTTTTTCATATTCCAAATTTATTTCAGAAAACATTTAAGGTCAAAAGTTCTAGTTTCATGACTAACATCTCTATAGAATATTAAGATAAGAAGGATATATGTTATATACAAGTACAGTATTTTCATGTATTTGAATAATGCTACTGTTCATATTAAATATTTGTATGTAGTCATTTTTAGAATATTTTACAATTTTATTTACATGTTTTAAAATATATGGAGCTTTCTTGACTGAATGAACTTATGACTAATTACTCTTTTCTTTATTCCACAGGAACAAAAGGACACAAATCCCATAATTTTCCATGACTCAGAATATGTACAAACGTTACTTTTGACAAAAAATAGATTTTCTTCTCATCCACTGAAAAATGAAAACATTTACCCACATAAAAGAACAAATTTTGTTTTAGAAAGAAATTGTGAAATCCTCAAATCTATAATTGGCGATCAATCTATTTCTCTTTTCAAACCCAAAAAAACAATGCCTACAGCACAGAGAAAAGATATACAGATCCCCGTGTCTTTTAAAGTAGGCCACACAACTGTCGATGATAAACTAAAGAGGAAAACTAATAAGCAGACACCAGAAAACAGATCTTGGAATACACTCTATAATTTCTCACAGCACTTTTCCAGCCTAACCGAACAATTTGTGGGTTACCTTGATAAAGCTGTTATTCATGAAATTGGTGCCCAAACCGGAAAATTTGAAAGAATATTTTCTACAGAGAAACCAACGAGCATACCCACATCCAGTGCCTCACCTGTCAAATGTTATTCAAAGCCTTTTAAATATATATATAAACTAAATAATGTAACACCACTGGATAATTTATTAAACCTGTCAAGTGAAATTTTAAATGCCTCATAAAATATCATGTATGCAACAATATTGGAGCAACAAGAAGCAAATATCCAAGTTCCAAAATTATAAAAGAAATTCTTATCCAAATAGTAATGTTCGAATTGATCATATAAGAAAGCAAAGCATAGACATTGGAATTACAAGTCAGCAGTCATCTGTTCAAGAACAATCAACATTTGTAGTAAATAATAGGACAAAATTAGGAAATAATTATCACCAAGAGGATCTAGTTCATGACTTTCTATTATCTCAATTAGATTGCTCAATCATCAACCTTCCTATACTAAACTCTGATTCAGGACCAAGAACAGTATAGTCTGACTCCGGAAATGCGCTGTTGAAAGTCAAATAACATCAATACTCTTTTTCTATAATTGAATATCAAATAAGACAAATTATCATTAATTTAATGAATGTGGGGTTAATTGCATATCAGCATTTCAGCAAATCATCATCAATAGTATTACATTAACAATTTATGCAACTAAAAAGGCTTTGTAAAACTTTGAATAGTTTTTTATTGTTGTTAGTAGATGTTGGAACTTCATTACTATATAATGTTTTTGCAAACTTTAACTTTTTTCTGAATTATTAAATAAAAGAATAACTATCCTTAATCTAAAAATTTTTGGTAGCAAATCCTATAAGGTATTAAACATTTTAAATTATATTATTACATTGTTATTTTACTTTCTCATTAACTTGAACAGTATAAAGGCAAAATTCAACTTAGAAACAAGTTGCATTTTGAAAGTTTATTGGCAATCCATTTGTTTGGAATTCAGAAATGCATTTCACATAAAAATAATCTTGTAAGTAATAAATTCCAAAATTAAATAACAGAAACTTCCTTAAAATTTAATCCCATAGAGCTTATATGAAAATGGTAAAAAGCAATAATTTTGTAATTCCAATAACTAAAAGAGAAAACTGAGTAAGGAAAGAATTTTTCAATCTTGACTGTTACTACTTGAAGAAAAACAGATTGAATTAAATGCATTTAAGTTAAGAAAAGGCTTTCGGGGTCTTTTGGAACATTTAAGGGTGAGGAGGTAAACTGGTTTAGGTTCCTCTGCTTCTACTTCAGACTGGAGATTTTCTTTATTATGCATCATCATCAATACTACTCAGGAGCATCTTCACAACTAGAGGGAGGTTTGGACTCTCAAAAAGAATGACAAGGAGAGAAAAATGGAGGTGGAGGAAGACAGATGTACCTGGAGATTGTGTGAATGAGAGAAGAGAGAGAGAAAAGCTTCAAGATAAGGTGTTGGGCTCAGGTCTGTAGGAGGTAGGGGAGGGGCATACTTGCTTCCAGTTGCTGGCTGGGAAAAGGAGACGCTGCTGCAGCTCCAAGTAATGAAGCTGTCTTTCTCTTTTCCCCTTCATTCTTCTCTGGTTGCTTTTATACGTTCTCCCCCTGTTTTCCCTCATCCAGACTTACTGCAAAGCAGAACAGCTTCCCTAACTACACTGCCAACTCAGAACATAAAACAAACTCTTTTTAAGCACTAACGATCAGAATAACAAGAATTAGAACATATACCTAATATTAGTACAAGTCATGACGGTAGTTTCTCTTGATACTTAGTATAAGAGAAACAAGTTTAGGCCTTGGAATAGGGCAGATAGGAGCAAATTGGGGCAAATAATGTAAATTATCTGAGCTTCAGTTTATTGTATCTCCACCTTAAAATGGAGACAACAATAATTTATTACACTGCTATTCTCAGGATTACATAAAATAGCATCTAGTACTTTGAGCCTTGTAGCATTCAATAGAAATTTCCTTTCTACTCCCTCCTTTTCTCTGTAAGCCTGCTCTTAATGTAAGTGTGATCTCTTCTCTTCTCTTCTTTTCTTTTTTTTCTTTTTCTTTTTTTTTTTTTATTATACTTTAAGTT